ATAAATGAACCATGAATATATAATTAAGGCTATGATTTAGTCATGGGCAGGGCTTGACAATTAGTGTAATCTACTTGCCCGTGGAAAGTAGATTACAAGCCGGCATAGCCGCGCAGCGCAGTCAGCACATGCGGAGCACAGTCTGCACATGTGCAGCATGCCAAACCGTGCAGCTGGAGAGCAGGACTCGCTGCCACTTGGCGAGCCCTGGTCATGGGTATTTTTAGAAAGACATGGATAGGTCACAGATAAAAAACTTCATGGCCCAATTGTAGTGTGGCCCCAGCATCTGGCTGTAGAGCTGCTCCAGCAGGGGCCAGGGTGGCTGATCCTGGCTGCAGCAGATGGCACAGAATCTGTGACTTAGGCAACCTCTGTGACAAACACTGAGATACCCCAGAGTGTCATAGCTGCCTACTTCACAGAGGCTCTTAAAATGGCTTAAAATTCTTACGTGGAAACTACTATAAAAAGTATCAGAGGGGTAGCTGAGTTAGTCTGTTACAGGAATAATTAAAAAACAATAAGTAGTCTAGTAGCACCTTAAAGATTAACAAAACATGTAGATTGTATCATGAGCTTTCATGGGCACAACCCACTTCTTCAGATGACTAGAGTGTTGGAAGCCCAGATCCAAGAATAAATAAGGGAAGGAGGAAGAGGAGAAAGAAAAAATTGGAGGGGAGGAAGAAAAAAGAGACAGTTAGTAGACAAGCTTCAAAGGGGTTGCTGAGTTAGTTTGTAACTAACAGGAAAGACTTAAACAAGAAATAGTCTAGTAGCATCTTAAAGACTAAATAGTTACAAGAGGCTGATAAGAACCATTGGTTTGCACTTGGAAAGGAAGATGACCAACAACAGATTCTACACAAACATCAAGAACCATTAGCGCCTTCATTGTTTGGTTGGTTGATACCATTTGCATGAGAATTAAACTTGTGAATGAAGTTAAGTTCCAACCCTTCTCTGTGTATTTGGCTTGTGGAATTGGTCTGAAACAAAACAGCAACTTGGAGATCTATTAGTGATTGTCCAGTAATATTAAAGTGTTCTCCAACAAGGTTTTGTGCGTTGCCTTTTTGGATATCTGATTTGTGTCCATTGATTATTTCCTGTAGAGACTGTCCAGTTTGGCCATTATACATTGCAGTGGGGCATTGCTGGCATTTGATGGCATAGATCACATTACTGAATGTGCAGTTAAATGAGCGTCTGATTTGGTCACTGATGTGGTTGGGTCCAGTGATTAAATTGCTCGTGTAGATGTGTGCGCAGAGTTGGCAGGGGTGGGTTCATCGATGCTTATGATGGAGGTGTGTTACGTGGTTACCGGAAAGAATTTTATAAGTGAGAATTGGCTTTTCCCCAAGGCCTCTGAGAGTGAGGTTATGTAAAGTATGTAATTGTTTCTGCTTTCATTTTCAGAGTCTTTGGTATCCTGTAGTCTATGCATTAGGGAAGTTTTATTACTGACTAGATTTACCTGGTGTTGCTTGTGTCATTAGCCCAATTAATTTTACTTTTTTGGAAAATAAAATGAAATGTAAATTTAAATCATTGCTCTGGGGCGGGGCTGAGCTGGGGATGTGGGATTCAGTATATAGGCTTCTTTGGGGAGAGAGGACTACCCCCCTCTCCCACTGTTGCAGCTTGTGGTCAGGTGAGAAGACCCTCTTCATAGCTGCTGCAGCTTCAGTAGACACAGTCACGGAAGAGTTGCATGTCCCCCGGCCAAGGCAGGTTCAGATCTGTGTGCCCCCTATGCTCCTGAGCTAGAGTGAGGGATGCAGCAAACTGTGCACTATCCCTTTGCTCCCTGACGAAGGGGAACAGCCAGCCATGTCCCTGTGTGAATCTGGCAAGGGAGCTTCAGCCCCCTACCACCTTCTCTAAAGGGCACCTGAGGGGTGGGAGACTTGGGGCTGGGATAGTCCAACCAGCCCTTTCACCTGCGTGGCAAAGTGATTTTGATTTTGAGAAGCAATCTCTTACAGGCTGTCACATTATTGGATTCTAAAGATCACTGTTGTACCCATGGGGAGGGGGCTGTTTGCCCCAAAAGTCTGTACAAGGGGGTCATATAAGGTGCCACATGAAAGCTTATGTTTTACTGATTCTGTATATGCTATTCATGTACTTGTATAATATCTGTATGTGGAATTATAAGTGTGTACTCCGTGTTCATGTTGGAAAATTCTCTGTCTGAGGCAGAGCAATGTGCCAGGATTGTTCATTCAATGGCTATGCTAATTAGCGAGGCTCCAGGGACAATAGATCTCTAGGTGCCAAAGACACACCTGAGGAATGAATCTGGATGCCTGCAGACCAGCCAGAATAATGATTGCTGGCTTGGGACACAAGGATAGGTCGCTGGGCCATATGACCCACTCCAGCTTGGAAGAGATATAAAATGCCATGTGGCAGACTCCATTTTGTCTTGAGTTCAGTTCCTGATCCTAGATGCAGCTTTGCAGGGAACAACGAGCCGGGAAGAACCGTGGACCTATCCTGACATAGGATGTACACCAGAGATTTTTAAGATAGCAGTAGTAATATCTCTGCTAAAAGCCTGAATTGAGAACTTGGTGATTCGATGCATGTAATGTATTTTCTTTAACAACCTTACTCTCATGCTTTTCTTTCTTTTAGTAATCTTTAGATTTTAAAGGATTGGCTCAGAGTGGGTAAGATAGAGTGTAAATTGACCTGAGAACTGTGGCTGGCTTCTTGGGACCGACAGAACCCATTTGGGGTAGGTGAGATTGGGTTTTCTCACCCCTCACCTGTGTGTTAGGCCCGGGGCTGATTGGGGCACAGGAGGAGCTGGGGTCTCAGAGGGGTTTTGCTCGTGAGGCTTCAGGCTAACCAGATTGGCAGCTGAAGCGCTCTGTGTGACTGGTTTGTGATCTGTTTGGAAGATCTCCAGTCTGGGGCTGAAAGGAGCCCCGAGTTTTGAGCAATTTGCCCTGAGCTGATGCACTTAGTGGTGCCCTGACCTGGCCCAGTCTGTCACACACACATTCTGTTTTCCTGGCACAACCACATCCTTACCTTGATGATTATAGGAAGCTGTATGCCAAATTTGGTGGTCCTAGCTCTTACAGTTTAGGAGGAGTTCTTGAATACATAGGCAAATGGACAGACAGACAAACTTTCTTAAATATATAGTAAACATTACAATATTACCTAGTGTGGGATATATTATACTAGATAAAGGCCAATCAAAACTCACTTGTTTTCAGAATTCTCTGGGCACTATTTCCCCAATTTGTTTTATTTCCACTCATCTATTTTGGAATCTTTTTGCTTTTCCTCAGCAAGATGGCAGAGACCACTTCTGTTGAATTCTGCTGTGCTAATAGTTTTTGTAGGAGTGGTTACCTGAAGCATGTAGTTTGTTCTATCCTGCTCCATTGGAATGGTCTCCTCACATATTATGGTCCTTGTAAAGAGGGTTTTGTTTTGTTTTTTTAACAAAAGATCTTTGGTGCTTCATTTTATTATCTGTGTGTGTGTGGTATGCAAATGATGATTTGATGTAGCTGCATGATATGTGGGGAAATTATGTGAAAGGAGCAATTTTATATGTATTTTCACATTTTGATCATGAGTGTTTTTAACCAAACTTCCACTTTTATCTAATTTGAGATTTGAATAGTGCAATTCAGCTCAAGTGTGATGGACCTAAGCCAGCAGCCTGCCACACTTTGGTCCTATTGGAGTCCGAGGAGGTTGCCACACTTTGTTGGAAGTTAGGCATTCAGGGCACTGGATAAGTGGTTTTCTCTTCCCAGAGTAAACTGTTAGAGCCTGCTGCAATAAAATGAAGGCAGGAAAACACTTGAGGCTAATTAACTAGATAGTTCTCTCAGGCAAGTCACTCAACACCTGTAATCAATTACAGCCAGTGGAGTTGCTTTAAAAGGCCTCCCCTAAGTAAGAAGAGGGGGAAGACAAAGAGTGATGGACTGGAAGGAGAGAGGGCTGAACAAGAAGCAGCTTTGTGTGAGCTGAGAGTTGGTTAAGAAGTACATTTTGGAGGGGTTGTTTGGGGAAGTGGCCTGGGGAAAAAGCTGCCAAGTCAGAAGGAAAAATCAACCTTGATTGCTGCTACTACTTTAGTGTCCCTGGACCGGAATCTGGAGTAGTGGGTGGGCCTGGGTTCCCCCCAAACCTTTCCCCATGTCAACACAGCGCCTGTCCCAAGAAGAGAGACCAGGACTATCAAGGGGTTTTCACCTCAAAGACATGGACTAGCCTGTAATGAGTATGGCTCGCTAAGCTGTGGACCCTTCCTTCTGTAAAGAGAAAGGGGTTGTGTAAAGGACCACAGCAGCAAAGGATGACTGTGAGGCTAATATATCCACTAGTAGTGCGAGACCCACAGGGCATAACCAGAACTTTGCCACACAATATAATAAAAATATTGGAGCATTTTTTTAAAACAATACTTACAAATGCAATAACCCAACGCAATACATTTTGACTAGCAATGGGCAATGTAGGCTAGTGAGTGGATCACACAAGTGTCCCTCCTTCATCTCAGTAGGTCACAAGATTGTTGTTACCAAGATTGCCTCAGAGGATAGAGTAGTTTTGCTAACTGATATGTACCTAGAATTTGCAAGATGTGTTGATTGAACCGTAGCAGCGCTTGGATTGGATGTAGAGGGAGCACACAGCTTTCACAGTCAATGTTGTGTGCAATCAACATGTACCTCATTTCACATGCCATTGCTTTCATGTGTGTCACTTTAGTAATACTAGTGAGAATAAAACTATGTGAATAGAAACCAGTGGAATCTGGCAAGCTTTTACATGGGCAAGGGTAAAACAAAATACTGTGGGCCACACACAGAACCTGGCTGGGGCCATTACTGATTTTGATTATCTTTATTTTGCAAATGTATGTGTGTGAAATTTAGTTTAGGAAAAAGGGTGAGTGTAAATTACATTGTTTGCTTTAACCACTTTCTTTTTTTTCCTGATGGCTTTTACAGGAAATTCTTAAGAATGAAAGGTATAGAGAAGAAATAAAACAGAAAATCCAAGATGCTTCAGAAAATGACAGCCTTCTTCAGACCAGGGAATGCAAGGAGGGACTTGTGGTTGAACCAGTTCAAACTGAAATTAAAGGCCATGCATCAGCCCCTTACTATGGAAAGAATGAGCCTTCACCAGACCCATCCAGCACTGCAAAAACATTTCAGCCAGGTTCCTGGATCCCACCAGATAGCCGTAATAAATAAATAGTTGCAATGTGAAAAAGCTTGACAATAAATTGCATAGATAATTACTTTAACAAGCAACATGACTGAAGAAAACTGTTTTTCACTTTCCAACTGTTGTGTGAAAAATAAATTGATATATTAAAGTTAACTTTAATTTATTTTTACACAGCCACATCTTAGAAATCATTGAATCCTTAGTTAATACTGTAACTAATTAGCAAATCTTAGTAAAAGTTAATGTTCTATACTACTTAATTTTTATGTTTTTAAAGTAATTGCTCATATTTTGTTCTTCAGTTACTTCTATTTAGATGATTGAGATAGGAAAATGTCACAATGCACTTTCTTTTGACAGGCATTCTTCTCTAGCGGTAGCAACTCTTTATAATCTTGCCCTCAAGACAACAAATTTTACATAGCTTGTTTGTAGACATGAAGATTAGAAATGACCTTTGGTATCATGAAAGCTAGATCTCTTTTTTCTTTTCTTTTTTCTTAAATCATCATCTCTATGCGCATCCTCAAGAGTTCCCTTCCTGTTAATATGGTCAATGCAGTTGGCTCTCTTAGGTGACGGTAGGGTCTGTTTGGCCTCTTTAACGCAAAGCACTTCAATGATAGAGGCTACATTATTTCTTAATTTTAATGGACTTTCTTGTAACTGCATTAATAAATAGTAATATCAACAGTTAATGTGTGCACCTTACTGGCCACCCATAAGTAGTGTGTATCAAGCTAAGAGCAGAGTATGGAAGGACTTTCTCATTTTCCAGTAATTACACTGAACATTTCAGATTAGGCTCCACAGGCAACTGTAGCCAGCTCTTCATGGTTACAAGGGAAGTCACTGGAAATCAGCAGAGGGAAAGGACAAAATTGTTGAAACTTGAAAGAAATGCCCATGATAAAAGCAAACTGTAAGACCTGTTATGCAGTGTCTACATCAAAGAAAATTGTATCAAAATGACAGGAATGGCCAGTAATCGTGTAGCTGCATCTGTGACAGGAACCGTGTAAAAACTTGTGTAGATGGGGCAAATTCATGGTCTCCTTCTCCTCTCCCTTACCCCCTCCCCCGTGCTATTAAAACCTGCTCTCTACAGGTTTTTGTGACTTGGTCTTAAAAGCACTTGAGCTGAGCACAGTTGATAGCAACGAATAGTGCTATGGCTAGGTAGTCCTAAAAGCTGGGACACCAGACCCTAAATTCTGTGTAGAAGGGGTCAGATTTGTAACAGCTTCAGTAACAAAAAAAGATTGGAATGTGAAAAATATCAGATGATATTCCTTGTTCTGATCTTAGAGTTGGACATCTTATTGTTGAAATATCTTTCAATTGTACATTACTCCAAAATGTTCAAGTTGTGGTAGAATCTAGTTTGGATAATGCACAGCATCATTACAGAAGTTGTCAGAGAGGAAAACCTGGAGGCTTTGGCATCTGTGCAAGGGTCACTTAAGGTTTCAGGTCTTTGAGAGGTGACTAAGCAAAGATGCATTTTCCTCTCATTTTCTATCTATATATGTGATTTGACATTTTGAGCTCTAGATTCCTTGCCCCTGCACTCTTCACAAGAACCATGATGTCCCCTGTTAGAAGTACAGATAGTACTTAAAATGATCAATGCTGATGTTAACACTTAGTCACATCATTAGCCCTCTTCCCAGTGAGTGGAGCATGTGTTTGTATCTTAAGGACTTGAACTGGTTTATGTTCATTTAGAAGACTAACCAGTTTATGAAGGTAAGCATGCATTTGAATGAAATAGAGATTGTTAAAATCTGTCAATTTCCTGGCCATGGAATTGGAAAGAAATTTAAAGGGCCAGAGACTGAATTACCCTATTGTACTGCTTTTCTCCATCACATTCCTCAACAATTTTAGGAATAGTACTGCAGTCCTTGTGGCCACAGAAGTGGAGCGAGTATGCCTGCCCCATGCATTCTGTTTCCCTTGTGGCTGCCAGGTCCCCCCAGTGATCCACAGATTTGCATGCTTGGGGTATGGGATGCCATGAGGGGGGAGAAGGTAGGGTGATAAGTGTTACCTACCAGCCCTATGCTCTTGGGGAGTGACATTCATGGAAAACCATCCCCCTCTCCTAGGCCTCTGCTAGAATGGAAGACAAAGCAATGAAAAGGCCGGGGAAGTCACACCTAAACTGCTTCACACAAGGGTGATAGAATTAAGGAAACACCCAGCCTCAGCTGCATGGAAGCACTGACTGATGGGAAATCTCTGCTCCAGGTGCTAATGAACCCAGGCCTGCTCACACCCAAATGAGTCATTATCAGACCAATTCTAGTAATGGATCCTATTGACAGCCAAAATATGGGGTTGCATTGTGAGCTCCTTCAAGGAACATCACCCATAACCAGGTGTGATCAGTTTCTATTGTCTCGCTTCTGTTTACCCATAAACAAATCCATTGTTCTCTTTGAACTATTGACCTATCCCTATAAAAACTCCTACCCTTACCCAAGAAAAACTGTTCTGATACTTGGGATTTAAACTGCATCAGTTCCACTGAGAATTGGGGGCTTTTCTCATTTCCTGCTTTCTGGACTCCCCATTACCATCTGGGAACCCTTATCCATGCAAGCTCCACAGAATGGTGAGTTCTCTCTCTCTTCCCCAAGCATAGCCTCCTGACTCTGCCCTATATAAACTGTTATATGGTTAGTTAGCCCTAACATTTGTAATCAGTTTCAATTTAGATTTAATATTGTAACTGTTTTGTGTGTTTGGTTCCCTATATATATATAATTAACTTTCATTGTTAAGCTGGTTGCTTCTCTCTTTTGCTCACTCTTCCTCAAGGGGTGTTGTTTTGGCTTCCCCATTCGCTCTGCAATAACACTTCTTGTACCGCAAGGAAACATCACCGGTGATTTAAAGTGACTAAATAAAAAAAATTATGTAAAACAATTTTGCAATAATCAACTAAACAGGTATTTTCCATGTCTACCTTCTGATTCCATAAAATAGATTACAGCTGGCATTAACTGGTATGCATCTTGAAATCCTACCTTCTATCAAAAGACCAATACTCCCAGTCATGATGCATCAGCTGGTTAATAAATGGTTCATTTGTAGATTAAGAATGTGAGGTGTTTACATCAGCTACACTTATATTTTCTATAAAAATCAGTACATTCAATTGGTAATATACAGTATGTCACCACTTTTGAAAGGATTCTTAAAAATCAATTATTTAGGTAATTTTCATTTAGTGTATGCTGAACTCATTGGTTTTAGACCCTTTTCCTTAATGAAACAGATACCTAAGTATTGTACAGATAGAACATTAGTTCTCTACAGCTGTAACACATTTTTAGAAGTCAGAATAAAGAACAAACGCTTTTTAAAAAGTATCAAATTTATTTATGTAAACTAGTTTGCTTTGAGTTGGTTCCATTTTAAAATCATATCAAAACTATATAAATGCCGAGGTGTAACCATATTAAAAAAACACTGATGACTTAATTGAGTAGGTCACAAAAAGGTGAACACATGCTCTACAGTCTAACACTTGTTTTGAGCAATAGAGGAAAGCGAACTGTTTCTTGTTACACATGCATGATTCACATCCAATTCTTAAGACTGATTTAACAAAACTTCCGGTGTTGGCTGCATTAATATTTATCTATTCACTTCCTCCTTTCCATATTGTAAAGAGTATCTGATTCATGTTACCATTTACATACTAAGTAAAGGACTCGGCCCAAGAATCCAGTATGACAACCCCCCAACTCTCTATGAGTTCATTAAAATTCAGGTGCTTGATAAAAAGTGCCTAGCACTTAATTCCTGGGAACTAAAGTAGCAATATTAAGGTTTGCTAAAGCGACACATTCTCTGGACACAAAAATGAATAAATTGGTGAGCCTTAGCTCCATTTTACTTTGCAATGTTTTCAACACAAGATTTACATCTGCCTTTATTATTTTTTACTAAGCCATCCTTTCAAGCTGGTCAAATCCAAAACAATTTCTCTGATTCTCCTGAGTTGATGGATTTAGGTTATGACATGAATATAATATTTAGTTATTTACCAAATGGATTTCCACCTTTATTTTGCAAAGTGCATTGTAGGCAAAAGCTGTTCACATGGTGATATTGTGAAAAATAAATGTCATATCACTGATTAGTTGTAAAAAGTTTCCTTCTGTGAACTATCAGAAAAAGGTTTAGTGGACTCCTGCTAATCCAGGAAGCAGATTTTGAGAACCCATCATTAAGAATTTAGGAGTTAGCATTTCACACTAACACTACATATTCATATAACTGCCAACTGCTGCAGAAAAAAGGACTGTCTCAGGGCCAAGTTGAAACCAGACAAAAAAATTGTGCTATAAATGAATATAAACCAACAGTAGAAAAAGGGCCATATAAAAACACCGTTAATCTTGTAGCAAACCAATGACTGCAGTATTTTTAGAAAGTCAGACATTTTAATATTTCTTCCATAATTTAAATGATATTTAAACAACTGCTAAAGCAGTTCCAATTTAAAAAATGAAGGTCTCCCCGTAGTGTATTCATTTTAGGGTATGGCATGTAAACATACATTTAAAAAATGATATCTGGTGGACATACACACATCAAATGCCATTGCAGGTTTGGATAAGAGACTTCAACACAAACTGTTTAACAAAACATGAATAATTTCAGGAACTGAAATGTCATAGCCCAAAGATTTGTACACGGTGAACTATATTGGAAGAAGACAACAATGTAAAGACACAAGTGTACAACAGTGCTTCAACAAAAGCAAATTTTTTTGCACAAGGAAGGCATTTTGCCTTGCTCAATCCCTCTTTGTTCTTTTGGCTTTTGCAATATTTTCTTGGCGTTTCTGTTTCTTCTTTTGCTCTCGCTCCCTGGCCTCAATCATTTTTGCCAGTTTCCAAGATAGCACTGCACTTGCTAGGAACAATGGTGTAAGCGCCAAGATCACAGTGGTAAGAAAGCCATATGGGTCCTTTGCAGCCCATTCCACAATATATTCAGCCCAGGCTTTGATATCAAACATCTTTTCTGCCATCCAATTGGGGAAACCTTATGCAAAAATGGAACGATAACACCTTTACATTGCATAGTCATAGAAGCACAGCAAGTTACCGTGCCTATCGATACAGTAGTTACTATCTGTCGCCGTTAGTCAAAGAGCTTCGTGTATTTGGATCCAGGCTAGGAAGTAGCTATTACGATCATTCTCCAGCACCGGCTTTTCGCCAACCTCCCACCTGCACTTTTTGAACTGTCCCAATCACACCAGGAAACCAAGGGGTGGATTACGCGGCCAAGCGCGGTTTTGGTTATTGTTTTAAACCCTTGTCGGCCCCCCGGCCCCGAAGCTAGCTCCATGGAAGGCCGCTCCACCCCCCGCAAGCTAAGCGCACCGCCGCTGCCCACGCTGGACGCTCAGCGGGACTAGTCAGTGAGCGCGGCTGGGAACTGGGGGGAGCCACGGGCGGGGGCTGCTGTGACACCCGCCCATCCAGTGCCCGGATCTAGCGGGCGAGGGGCTGAGAGCGCGAGGCAAAGCCCCTGCAGCGGGCTGAGGCGCACACGGTCACACCCGGTGGAGGGGGCTGAACTCACTGCCCCGCGACGGGCCCCGGGGGAAGATCTCTGGGGGCCCCGCCCAAGCCCCTGGGGAAAACTGACCCCTCCTCACGGTGCCTCGCCGGAGGGTCCGTTGCCGGCTCCACAGGCAGAAGTCGCGAGGACACAAGGTTCACCCGCCAAGCGGAAACAGGAAAAGGAGACGGTAGTCCCACCCCCGCCGTTACGCCGAAGTAGCGATAGAGTCTGTATCTGACGCCAGCTAGAGCGTCCCTTCAACTAGCTATTGCTCCCTGGAACCTGGCCTGGAGTCACGTGACGGCGCCTTTGCCATTGTTCTGCGGGGTAGAGTTCGTCTGGACGGCGCAGGGCACTTCCGGGGGAGCTGGTAGGTAAACAGCACGTGCTTTGTTGTTGGGCGCGTGGGAGCGGGCTGGGCCCGGCCTCATGTCGTCACTCGGCGCGTGGGGACGGCAGCTCCCGCAAACGAGGGTGGGAGAAAAGGCGCCCCCAAGGAGAGGAGGGGTTCGGAGCAGCCTGCTCTCCCCCTCCCCTATTATCACAGTCTGGGAGAGGGGGGGCCTGCACCCGCCCGTTCCAAAGGCGGGCTCTGCGCTGTTGCGTGGGGCCCCTCTTAAGCTGCCCGCTCAGGGCGTTCAGGTGGTGGGGTGACCCCGGGAGAGTCCTCCCCCAGTGTCCAGTGAAGTGGCCACGCGCCGGCAGCGCTGTGCTGGCCGCTCAAGTTCGAAACAACCGGCCGTTGCCCCCTGCCCCTTCGCGCGGCGGGAAGAAGCGTGTTCTCCCAAAGCTCCCTCGCGCTATACGCCGAGGCGCCGCGTGGCGGGACCTCCCTTCGCAGGGACCTTGGTTGTAACCGAACAGCTGGTTTTCTGCGGTGTCATGCGTGCACCAGGCTCGTCGCTGTTTGAACCGCGGCGGAGGGGAGGGGCTTTCCTCTTCCCTAGACCGTATATGCGCATGTTGCTAGACATCTGAGAGGTTTGTGTCCATACAAAAGGAGCAGAACAGGCTCCAAGTTAAATTATGACCAACGTTGAACTGCATTTTTGTCTTGATGTGGTTCAAAATCTCAGCAGTAGTAATGATTTTACATGCATGTACAAGGGATGCAAAAGTTAACAAGTGGGGAAGATAAAGTACATTTCACTGGAATATTCTTTATATAGTAAAATCCTACACTATTGCTAGCTAACACAGTGTACTTGGTGCCACATTTGCATACACTTATACATGCTTAATTTTACTATTGTGAGTAATTTCCATTGATTATCATGGGGCTGGTGCCTGCTGCAGGCTCCCAGTCAGGGCTGGGCCAGAAGCAGCCAGGCTGGAGGGCCCCTGCCTGTGGGAAGGGGAGGAGGTTTAGTGTGAGAGTGAAGAACTTCTTCAGCCTAGCTGGGGAGAGTGGGTGCAACCTGTGCCCAGTTAACAGGTTAAACTTAATGTTTAACTGGTTAAATAATTAAACAGGATTTTACATCCCTGTTATTGTGAACTCTGATGCTTGAACTAAAATTAGCCTTTCAGCATTTTATATTCCCAGCTTTTGTGAGCTTGTTTAAGCTGTTATACAAGCCATGGAAATTCTTAGCGAAATTTAGCTAGGGCGGTCATTTTATATAATTTCTTCTACAGCTGTCAGGAAAATGCAGTACTTACCTAAATCAGTGATACAGTTATTTCTAGGATATTGTATTTGTTACCATTATTGTCAAATGGTCTTACAGACTGTTAACTAAGGTAATAGTTTGTTATAGCAGGGTAACTGCCTGGTTTTGGGATTTTTGGATACCTTAAAATGAACAGGCATCCAGAGCTACACGTTTATTATTTTATGATATGTTTATTATCATATGTTGCTTTTCAGGAAACTACATCCAGAATGCTCCAAAGGAAAGAATGTTCTTATGGGAAGTAAATGAAAGAAAGTAGTAGTCTAAGGCTATGTCTACACTCGCGGCTTCTTGCGCGAGTAATATGCAAAGGAGGCTAAGTGTGGAATATCGCTGAGCCTCAATTGCATACCTAAGGAGCCACCATTTTTTTCAGAAGAGGCTCTTGCGCAAGAAGGAGCGTCTACACTGTCCCTTCTTGCACAAGAGCCTCTTCTGAAAAAACTGGTGGCTCATTAGATATGCAAATGAGGCTCGGTGATATTCCACGCTTAGCCTCATTTGCATATCTAATGAGCCACCAGTTTTTTCAGAAGAGGCTCTTGCGCAAGAAGGAGCGTCTACACTGTCCCTTCTTGCACAAGAGCCTCTTCTGAAAAAACTGGTGGCTCATTAGATATGCAAATGAGGCTCGGTGATATTCCACGCTTAGCCTCATTTGCATATCTAATGAGCCACCAGTTTTTTCAGAAGAGGCTCTTGCGCAAGAAGGAGCGTCTACACTGTCCCTTCTTGCACAAGAGCCTCTTCTGAAAAAACTGGTGGCTCATTAGATATGCAAATGAGGCTCGGTGATATTCCACGCTTAGCCTCATTTGCATATCTAATGAGCCACCAGTTTTTTCAGAAGAGGCTCTTGCGCAAGAAGGAGCGTCTACACTGTCCCTTCTTGCACAAGAGCCTCTTCTGAAAAAACTGGTGGCTCATTAGATATGCAAATGAGGCTCGGTGATATTCCACGCTTAGCCTCATTTGCATATCTAATGAGCCACCAGTTTTTTCAGAAGAGGCTCTTGCGCAAGAAGGAGCGTCTACACTGTCCCTTCTTGCACAAGAGCCTCTTCTGAAAAAACTGGTGGCTCATTAGATATGCAAATGAGGCTCGGTGATATTCCACGCTTAGCCTCATTTGCATATCTAATGAGCCACCAGTTTTTTCAGAAGAGGCTCTTGCGCAAGAAGGAGCGTCTACACTGTCCCTTCTTGCACAAGAGCCTCTTCTGAAAAAACTGGTGGCTCATTAGATATGCAAATGAGGCTCGGTGATATTCCACGCTTAGCCTCATTTGCATATCTAATGAGCCACCAGTTTTTTCAGAAGAGGCTCTTGCGCAAGAAGGAGCGTCTACACTGTCCCTTCTTGCACAAGAGCCTCTTCTGAAAAAACTGGTGGCTCATTAGATATGCAAATGAGGCTCGGTGATATTCCACGCTTAGCCTCATTTGCATATCTAATGAGCCACCAGTTTTTTCAGAAGAGGCTCTTGCGCAAGAAGGAGCGTCTACACTGTCCCTTCTTGCACAAGAGCCTCTTCTGAAAAAACTGGTGGCTCATTAGATATGCAAATGAGGCTCGGTGATATTCCACGCTTAGCCTCATTTGCATATCTAATGAGCCACCAGTTTTTTCAGAAGAGGCTCTTGCGCAAGAAGGAGCGTCTACACTGTCCCTTCTTGCACAAGAGCCTCTTCTGAAAAAACTGGTGGCTCATTAGATATGCAAATGAGGCTCGGTGATATTCCACGCTTAGCCTCATTTGCATATCTAATGAGCCACCAGTTTTTTCAGAAGAGGCTCTTGCGCAAGAAGGAGCGTCTACACTGTCCCTTCTTGCACAAGAGCCTCTTCTGAAAAAACTGGTGGCTCATTAGATATGCAAATGAGGCTCGGTGATATTCCACGCTTAGCCTCATTTGCATATCTAATGAGCCACCAGTTTTTTCAGAAGAGGCTCTTGCGCAAGAAGGAGCGTCTACACTGTCCCTTCTTGCACAAGAGCCTCTTCTGAAAAAACTGGTGGCTCATTAGATATGCAAATGAGGCTCGGTGATATTCCACGCTTAGCCTCATTTGCATATCTAATGAGCCACCAGTTTTTTCAGAAGAGGCTCTTGCGCAAGAAGGAGCGTCTACACTGTCCCTTCTTGCACAAGAGCCTCTTCTGAAAAAACTGGTGGCTCATTAGATATGCAAATGAGGCTCGGTGATATTCCACGCTTAGCCTCATTTGCATATCTAATGAGCCACCAGTTTTTTCAGAAGAGGCTCTTGCGCAAGAAGGAGCGTCTACACTGTCCCTTCTTGCACAAGAGCCTCTTCTGAAAAAACTGGTGGCTCATTAGATATGCAAATGAGGCTCGGTGATATTCCACGCTTAGCCTCATTTGCATATCTAATGAGCCACCAGTTTTTTCAGAAGAGGCTCTTGCGCAAGAAGGAGCGTCTACACTGTCCCTTCTTGCACAAGAGCCTCTTCTGAAAAAACTGGTGGCTCATTAGATATGCAAATGAGGCTCGGTGATATTCCACGCTTAGCCTCATTTGCATATCTAATGAGCCACCAGTTTTTTCAGAAGAGGCTCTTGCGCAAGAAGGAGCGTCTACACTGTCCCTTCTTGCACAAGAGCCTCTTCTGAAAAAACTGGTGGCTCATTAGATATGCAAATGAGGCTCGGTGATATTCCACGCTTAGCCTCATTTGCATATCTAATGAGCCACCAGTTTTTTCAGAAGAGGCTCTTGCGCAAGAAGGAGCGTCTACACTGTCCCTTCTTGCACAAGAGCCTCTTCTGAAA